TGTGTGTGTGTGTGTGTGTGGTAGACTAGAACAGTGCACACACACACCCCCCGGCTGTACAGGAGTGAGCATGTGTGCGTACATATGTACAAACTTATCTTTTATACAAGATATTGTAATCGTTTTGTATCGTATACGCAGTGGGTCCGTTTCATGTCCATTCAAAGTGGCCGGAACGCCGGTATTCCGACGGGACCTGAAGGCCTCACCGGCCGCCGCTGCTCTTTGGGATTCTCCGGATTTACCCACCAACAAGTATTCTCCGTTTTCCAGCCGAAAACTCTCTGTTCCCACAGGTCCAAACACTACCAGGTCTCTCCCTCCGGAAGCTCAAAAGGGATTTGGATATTTTTCCCGCCGTGTGTCTCGTTCCATTCATTTCAACATTCCTTTGGCTTTTCAACCAAGTGAGACTTTTTTAAACCAGCCATACGTGCATGTTTTAGGTCAATAAAATGTTTACTTATTAGGTTTTTCTGACCCGGACGTCCCGTTTCTGAGTCTCGGAAAATAAGGAAATGAGCCGGTTCTCCTCTTTGTGGAGGCTCTTTTTCCATGGAGTTCATAACCAGACTGCAGGAAGAGAAGCTAAGACCTTTTATTTTATAGAATCTCACAGGAAAAATGTTGTTTTTCTCAGTATTGGTGTTTTTTTAACCCTCATTTGGAAGTTTATTCTCCTGTTTTCCGGTTTGTTTCTCTGAGAATTCGAGATGCTAAACACTTTTACAAACTTTCGATGTGGAAAATTCAGTGTTTGCAACTGAAAAAGCTAAATTCTGTCTCAGGTTTCCTGTTTTTATCCTCCTTTTTACCGAATTAATCAGCTACTTAGGCTGGGGAAAGGTACGGGGGGGCTACAGGAGCTGCAGGATAAGGAGGGTCCAGCATTTCTGGAGCTAAAGGAGGTCGGTCAGGAAGCCTCTAAAGCCCCAAAACCTCCAGGTTATTTCACTTTGGAAAGTTTCTGAACAGCTCTGATCTCTGGCTGTTACTTTAAATCTGATTTACAAAACCACCTTACGGTATTTCACCATCATTTGGAGTTACGACTTAATTTTAATCTCCATTATGTGAATTAACGCCTCTATTTTCGCCTTCTCCGCTTCCCATTTTTCATTTTTTACATCCAATTCTTTGGAGTTTAATCCCTGTTATCTGAAATACAAACAAGAGAAAGACGCAAAGAAAACAAAAGGGTTTAGATGAAAAAACCAAAGTTCAAATTCTGATCAAAACGCGAGAAAGCTGAGTGGTGGAACAAGGAGCAGCTGTTCTAATGTTGATGTTACTTTAAATCTGATTCACAAAACCACCTTAAGGTATTTCCATCTTCATTTTTATATCTCCACTGTGTGAATTAACGGCTCTATTCTCGTCCTTTCCAATTTGTTTTCCCATCCAATTCTTTGGATTTTAATCCCTGTCATCTGAAATACAAAAAAAGAGGATGATGCAAATAAAACAAAAAGTGAGAAGTGAGGAAAACTAGGAGCTGAGAGCAGTTTTAAAATGAAGTAAAACAACTTTACATGGAGCTTTCACAGTAGAGGAAACAAAGCAGGTCAGAAAAAGAGTATAAGCCAAGTTTAATTCAAGGCTTTATAATCACACTTTTACATAATCAAACGAACATCAAACTGAATCAGTGGAGAAAATCCTGATGGGAAACATGGCTGAAAATCCCAGAGAGGTTCATAAAGAGACACCCACTCCTTTACAGTCAGATTTACTAATATATATAAACCCAAAAGGGGAGCTTATTCAGTTGGCTGCTGGTTATTTCATATATCATCAGAGTTTAACACACACACACACTGTTGTCCAGTAGGTTGAAGCTAATCTTTTAGCTCCTGCTGGTCTTTTTTCCCCTTATGACTGAAAGTCCAGTTTAGAGAAATGTTTAAACTTGTATGATCCTACAGACATTATCCAGACGGGGAAAAATCAGGGGACGGAAACTAGGCGGGTCCAGATCCGATATCTGGATCCAATCGGCCAGTAGAAGAAAACACAGATCCAGACTCCAGATCCAGTTTTGTTTACAGTCCGATCCCACGTTAGCATTAGCATTAGCATCTGTAACCACAGGTCTGTGTCCTAACCATTAAGTTGTTATCAGAGTAAATCCCTGTTCAACATGAGTCTGACAACTAAGTAAGTAGATAAATAACTTTAGACTTTAACACATGCTCTGATAGGCCGGGATCAGGACGTCCCTAATAGAAACGAAGATGCTAACATTAAATTGGCAACATGCAGCGATACGCCGACGGGCGCCGAGTGCATGAATCACCCGGTTTGAGACTAGATTAGAGTTTCAGCCTCGTATTTGAACAGGAAATATGCAATTTGACCATAAAAACGTTCGCAAATAGCCACACACAAAGATCATTTTATGTCGTATTTCTTTCGCCGTTGCCGTGACGACGGCTCAGGCGTCTTCGGCCGGCCGGTGCAGGGCGGCCGACACCACGAGGTCCAGCTTGTGCGAGCCGTCGCAGTGGGGGGGGGTGCGGGTGCGTTTGCAGCCGCACAGCCACAGAGTGGCGTCCCGCTCCGGGACGAAGCGCAGAGGGGACAAACCGGGGGCCTGAGACCGGTGGGCCCCGTCACAAAATGGCTGCCGGAGAGAGGGGGGAGGGGTTAGGAAACGGGCCTAGGCTGGATGACCAGCTCCTCCCACAGCCAAGTCGGACGTTCTGATTAGGTCATGTGACTAGCAGCTTTCTGAGGTGGAAACGAAAGTTTACTGTCTATATGAAATCAGAAGGTAAACGATGTCCTGACCCTAACCCTAACCCTGACCCTAACAATAATGCTAAACCTAACCCTGACCCTAACTTTAACCCTGACCCTAACCCTGACCCTAGCCCTGACCTTAACCCTGACCCTAACCCTGACCCTAACCCTACCCTAACCCTAACCAAATCCTAACCCTAAACCTGAACCTAACCCTGACCCTAACCCTTACTCTAAACCTAACCCTGACCCTAAACCTGACCCTGACTCTAACCCTGACCCTAACCCTAAACCCAACCCTAAGCCTGACCCTAATCAAATCCTAACCCTAAACCTGAACCTGAACCTAACCCTAACCCTAAAAGTAACCCTAACTCTGACCCTGACCCTAACCCTAACCCTGACCTTAACCCTGACCCTAAAAGTAACCCTAACCCTGACCCTAACCCTAACCCTTCATAATTGTGAGAAATAAATATTTTTGGTTAAACTTGTTTGGACTTATTGTACAAACCTATTTAACATCCACTATTTTAACATAATATTATGTATAGAGTTTAATTCAGTGTTTGCAAGATTCCTTTCACTATTTTTAAATTAATGTCTATATTGCCATGAAGCAATTACCATTTTCTTGCCTGGGATCTTCCTATTGGTGACCTAATCAAAATGGCCTTTGACTTGGATGTGGGTGGAGTTGGATATCCATCCTTGGCCTCCTACAGATAGATGGACTTGGATAAAGAGTCTCTCACCTGCTTCCGGCTGTGTCCACAGCTGCACCAGGAGTAGCGCTTCCCTCCAATTACGTCCACCTTAAAGGGCTTTTTGGAGGGGATCACGGGTTCTGGAGGTTCTGGAGGGAGCGTGCACATCCGGACCTGAGAGGGGAACACAAACCCGATCAACCTTTGTCTGTGCAAAACCCTCATGGAGTGGCTGATCGAATAATAATAATATTAACTCATTGACTGCCAAAGGCGTCTATAGACGTCTTTTATGTTTTCAACGAGAGTGTCTGGGGGACG